GCCACAAAGAAGAGGGAGTCAAACTATTCTCCAAAGCACCTCATATAGGACAAGAAGCAATGGGTGGAAACTAATCAAGGAGAGAAGCAACTTAGAACTAAGGAGAAATTTCCTGACAGAACAATTAAATCAGTGGAACAACTTGCCTCCAGAAGTTGTAAATGCTCTAACACTGGAAGTTTTTAAGAAGATGTTGGATAACCATTTGTCTGAAGTGGTGTAGGGTTTTCTGCCAAAGCAGGGGGTTGGACTAGAAGACCTCCAAGGTCCCTTCCAACTCTGTTATTCTATTCTATTCTATTCTCTTCTATTCTATTCTATTCTATTCTATTCTATTCTATTCTTTCTATTCTATTCTTTATTCTATACTATTCCATTCCATTCCATTCCATTTTCTATTTTATTTATTTTATTTTATTTTATTGTCTATTTTATTTTCTCTATTCTATTCTATTCATTCTATTCTTATTCTTAATCTATTCCATTCCATTCCATTTTCTATTTTATTTTACTTTATTTTCTATTTTATTTTTTCTACACTATACTATTCTATTCTATTCTATTCTATTCTATTCTATTCTATTCTATTCTATTCTATTCTATTCATTCTATTCTTATTCTAATCTATTCCATTCCATTCCATTCATTATTCTATTCTATTCCATTCCATTCCATTTCCTATTTTCTACTTATTTTCTATTTTATTTTATTCTGTTCTATTCTATTCATTCTATTCCATTCATTATTCTATTTTATTCCCTTCCATATTCTATTTTATTTTATTTTTCTATTCTATTCATTCTATTCTTATTCTAATCTATTCCATTCCATTCCATTCGTTATTCTATTCCATTCCATTCCCTATTTTCTATTTATTTTCTATTTTATTCTGTTCTATTCTATTCTATTCTATATTCCATTCCATTCCATTCCATTCCATTCCATTCCATTCCATTCCATTCCATTCCTATTCCTATTCCTATTCCTATTCCTATTCTATTTCCATGATGCCCCGTTACATAAACCTAATCTCTGAATATGTTGTCCCAATGCCCCCTCCTGTGGCAGGAGAGATGATTTTCAGGTCCCTGACCTTATTCTTTCTCTTACACAGGTATAAGCTGCTTGCGCTGCGCCAAAGATATATTCTTTATTTTCCTTTGCAAAATAATAATAATAATAATAATAATAATAATAATAATAATAATAATAAATGCCCCAGTCACCTTTTGCATTTACCAACAAGCCCCCCCCCTTTATTATCCCTCCATGCCAAAATACCTGAAATTTTCTTTTCTACCATTCTGCCAGCCAGGTAAGGACTGTTTTCCTGATCTTTCTGGTATAAATCCGCCTCGTTTCTCTCCACTCCGGCTTTCCAAGCTGCAAAAAAAAAAAACCCCTTTGCACCGCAAGAGGTGACGACGAGGTACAGAGCAAAGCTGATCAGGCTTTTGGCGCTCTCAATGGAAAAAATGTATTTGCTGTGCATCTAAGGACTCCCCATCTAGCTGCGACCTGCAAACGATCGCCATGTTATTGGGAGGCATATGGACTTCCGCCTCTGCGGCAAGGACACGCCCACTAAGACGCGTCATCAAGTCTGTCCTCGCTGAGAATGTTTGGTTTTTCCAGCAGAGGCGGGATTGGGCTCCCCTGGGTCCTACACTCCGCCGTGTTCGAAATAGAATAGAAAAACAGAGTTGGAAGGGACCTTGGAGGTCTTCTAGTCCAACCCCCTGCTTAAGTCATTTTTTTCCAGTGTCGTTGTAACTTTGGATGGTCACTAAGTGAACTGTTATGCGTCGAGGACTACCTGTATGTAGGTCAGGGATGTCCACACTCGAGGCCTTGAAGACTTGTGAACCTCAACTCCCAGAATTCCTCAGCTAATATGGCTGGCTGAGGAATTCTGGGAGTTGAAGTCCCCAAAATTGCCCGAGTTTGACTTCAACCTATTCAGCATGCCGGCTGGGGAATTCTGGGAGTTGAAGTCCCCAAAGTTGCCGAGTTTGACTTCAACCTGTTCAGCATGCCGGCTGGGGAATTCTGGGAGTTGAAGTCCCCAAAGTTGCCGAGTTTGACTTCAACCTGTTCAGCATGCCGCTGGGGAATTCTGGGAATTGAAGTCCCCAAAGTTGCCGAGTTTGACTTCAACCTGTTCAGCATGCCGGCTGGGGAATTCTGGGAGTTGAAGTCCCCAAAGTTGCCGAGTTTGACTTCAACCTGTTCAGCATGCCGGCTGGGGAATTCTGGGAATTGAAGTCCCCAAAGTTGCCGAGTTTGACTCAACCTGTTCAGCATGCCGGCTGGGGAATTCTGGGAGTTGAAGTCCACCCGTCTGAAAGTTTCCAAAGTTGAGGAACATTTAAACAGCTTCCCTTCAGCCCCTGAAACTGTTTCCAGCGTTTCGAGTTGCGGTGATAATACAAATTCTATAGCCACCATTCTTCCGAGCATGTGCAAAGTGCATTACACATAAACATGGACACCGGACATACGGAACAAGTGGAAGAAAAAAGTGGAAGGACGATCCCCATGAAAGACAATTCTGAATTTAGGAGATTATTTTACTTACATTAATGCCAAGTTGGATATTACCGTGTTTCGCCGAAAATAAGACCCTGTCTTATATTTTTTTGAACCCCGAAATAAGCGCTTGGCCTTATTTTGGGGGAGGTCTTATTATTCTGGGACGCGTAGAGCGAGATAGAGCTCCTCTTGCCGTCTTACCTGATTTCCAGCTCTATCTCTCTAACCTTAACCAGAGGAAATGGCGGGGACCAGCTGTGCATGCGGTGTGATTGTGATTTGTATTGTATGTTTTTATCTGGCTGTACACCGCCCTGAGTCCCTCGGGAGAAGGTGCAGTATATAAATTTGAAATAAAATAAAATAAAATAAAATAAAATAAAATAAAATAAATGCGTTTAAATATTTTCGGGGAGGGCTTATTTTCGGGGACAGCTTGTTTTCAGGGAAGGTTTATTTTTGGGGAGGGCTTATTTTCATGGGAGTCTTATTTTCGGGAAAACACGGTACTATATATCATCATATTACTGTGATGATGATGATTATCGTTATTATGCATTCTGCATGTAACGGATGGAAACTAATCAAGGAGAGAAGCAACCTAGAACTAAGGAGACATTTCCTGACAGTTAGAGCGATTAATCAGTGGAACGACTTGCCTCAAGAGGTTGTGGTTACTCCAACACTGGAGGTTTTTAAAAGGAGATTAGACAACCATTTATCTGAAATGGTGCAGGTAGGGTTTCCTGATTAAACAGGGGGTTGGACTAGAGGACCTCCCAGGTCCCTTCCAACCCTGTTATTCTGTTCTGTTCTGTTCCGTTCCGTTCCGTTCCATTCCATTCCATTCCATTTTCTATTATATTTTCCATTTTCCATTTTCCATTTTCCATTCCATTCCATTCCATTCCATTCCATTCTACTCAGACTATAGTACCAGGGGTTTCAGTTTTTATTGCATTTCTTTAAAACTTGCATCCCCTCCCCTCAAATTCCCAAGACTACAGAATTACTGTACTGTATTTACCAACTCATGAGCTGATTACAGTAAAAATAAATTGTTTTGCAAGCAAAGCAACGCTGATCACCAAATAATTTCCTGCAAGCCCTTATCTCATCCCTCTCCAAATATTTGGATATTCAGGCAGGGACAGGTCACTCTAGACTAGAGATTGATGGGGCTTCCTGTTAAAGAAGCGATCTGAGAATCGCAGCATCACAGATTCCTAATATTTACGAGCAGACAAGGGAAGAATGTAATGTAATGTAATGTAATGTAATGTAATGTAATGGAATGTAATGGAATGGAATGGAATGGAATGGAATGGAATAGAATAGAATAGAATAGAATAGAATAGAATAGAATAGAATAGAATTTCTTTATTGGCCAAGTGTGATTGGACACACAAGGAATTTTTGGTACATATGCTCTGTGTACATAGGGAAAAAAATATTTATAAATATATAACACTTATATAAATATATAATTTGTATTTATGTATTTTTACTGTTTTGGCTGTTCACCGCCCTGAGTCCTTCGGGAGTAGGGCGGTATATAAATCAAATAAAGATAAAGAAAGATAAAGATAAAGATAACACTTAGTGATAGTTGTAGGATACTAATAAGCAATCAAATCATACTAGGAAACAATCAAAACAATATAAGTTGCAAAGAATAGAATAGAATAGAATAGAATAGAATAGAATAGAATAGAATAGAAAAGACAAGATACATTCATCAAGAATCATAAGATACAACACTTAATGACAGTCATAGGGTACAGATAAGCAATCAAATCATACTAGGAAATTAAAGGATATTAATTAAACATTAAAGGATATTAAACATTAAAGAATTAAACATTAAAGATTATTAATAACCGGGGTCTGGACTGGGTCTAAGCATCTCCCCCCAGCCGGAGGGAGTTGCCATGCGTGGAAATGCCCCGTAACCCTATATCCCCACGACCAAACTCCTCAAACACAGATCTTTTCCAGCTCCTTTCCCTTTCTTTCTTTCTTTCTTTCTTTCTTTCTTTTCTTTCTTTTTTTCTCCCTCCCTCCCTCTTTCTTTTTCTTTCTCCCTCCCTCCCTTTCTTTCTTTTCTTTCTCCCTCCCTCTTTCTTTCTTTCTTTCTTTCTTTCTTTCTTTCTTTCTTTCTTTCTTTCTTTCTTTCTCTTTCTTTCTTTCTCTCTCTCTCTCTCTCCCTCTTTCTTTCTTTCTTTCTTTCTTTCTTTCCTCTCCCTCCCTTTCTTCGGCTCTCCCGAACTTTCCAGACTCTTCATTGGCTTGCCGAGGGAAGGGTTTTTTTGGGGGGGGGGGAAAGTTCCCCCCCCCATCCCCTGTTCTGGTTGGCCGAACCCTCTCGCGAGGTTCCGATTGGTTGGATGTCCAGGCGTCGAATTCCCCATTGAGAAAAAAGAAGAGAGGCGTCAAAATCAAGAATGGAACGCGCGCGCAGGGGAAAGGGAAAAAGGACTTTCCCTTTTGGAACGTTGATTTCCCTTTGATCTCCCCTTAGGCTTTGGAACGTTTGTTTCCCCTTTGATCTCCCCTTAGGCGGGGAGGTAGAACGGAGGTTTGCACGTATTTTTTTGGGGGGGGGGGGAAGGAGGATAGGATACCCCCACCCATCCACCCCATTCCAACGCAGGGCTAAGCCTACCCCTTTTAGAGGTGGATCCCCGCCCAGCGATTGGCTTTGCGATCGGGAGGAGCTTGAGATCCCTTTCCCAAAGCTCGACCGCTCGCGAGAGCGAGCCAAACCCGGGCGGGACCCCCCCGACACACTTCCAGTCGCTTCTCGGCGCTCGGCGCTTCTGAGCTCATGGAGCTGCGAGCGATCCTGACCTTGCGCGCCGCCCTGGCGCTGGCCGCCTTGGCGGCGGTGGGCGTCTCTGCGGGCAGCGAAGGCAAGCGGGAAAGCGTGGATCCCGGTAAAGAAGGGCGCAGCGCTGAGGATCGGGCAGGGATCAGGCTGTGTGGGGGGCGCGGGAGGGGAGGGCAGAAGCGACCGGTCCCCGGAAGATTGGATGCGGAGGGCAGGAGGGAGAAAAGGGGAAGGAGAAGGGTTGCGTGCACGGAATCCCTTGGCTTTGGAACCGGAGAAATCGCTGAAGGATCAGTTAAGGAAATCGGGGCTTACAAAGAGCCCGTTCACACGAGCCACCGCTTTGGCTCCGCAGTGGCAGAAAAATCGGTTTCACTCCCAGGAATGGGTCCCCATCAGTCTAGCGGTTGCGGACCGAGGAGAGAACGCCAAGCCCGGGATCGAGTCTGCCTCCGCGTTCCTTATCGGAGTCTACCTGATCACTTTGCTGTAACTTTGAAAAGTGAAAAGAAAAGAGAGATCGGGGGGCAGGGAAGGAGAGATCGTAAGCCATCCCTAGGATGTGGGGTGGGGTGGGGAGAAAGATCGCTGATCCAGGAGCTTTCTAAATAGACAAGGTTAGTCCTCAATTGAGGAGGGCAACTTGAGCTCAAAATTTAGGTGGCTAAAGTGAGAAATTGGTTAAGTTGAGTTTTTCAGTGAATCACCCCAGTCGTTCAGTGAGTAAACACGGTTGTTAAGTGAATCCGTTCCCCCCCCCTTGACTTTGCTTGTTAGAAGGTCGCAAAAGGGGGGGGGATCGCATGACCCCTACGGGACATTGCCGCCGCTGTTGTAAATATGAGTCGGGAGTCGAGTGTCTGGATTTTGATCGCATGATCATGGGGAATGCATCGGTCGTAAGTGTGAAAAGTCACTTTTTTTCCAGTGTTTGTCGTAACTCCAAACGGTCGCTAAACGGGCTGTGGTAAACCGAGGACTACCTGTAACGCTTTTCTCATGCCCAGAATCCTCCCTAACATTGTCGTTTGGGGTGAGGGGACTTCTGGGAATTAAGGGGCCGATGTGTCTGGGAGGGCACCAAGTTGCCTCTGTCTGGAAGTTACACGTGAATTGGTCGCTGTAGAAAAGGGGTGTCAAATTCGAAGGCTCGCGGGCTGGATTTGGCCTGCGGGGTTGTTAAATCTGGCCCGCAGGGCCTGGAAATAGCAAATGACCGGTTTGCGATGCCTCTGGAAGCCAAAATGGGGCACTGAGGGGCCGCGCGAGGGCCCCGTGTGCCCCGTTTTCGGCCTGGACAGCCTCCTGCAACACTCTGCTGTATGGGGGGGGCGCGGGTTAGTTTTGGCTGGCAGGAGGTGTCTGTTCCGTGCCCCCACCCAGAGGTGGGTTTCACTTACCTTTACTACCAGTTCGCCGTGCGCACGCTCACTTCACGCATGCGCTGTCCACACATGCCCCCGCACATGCGCTTTGCTCGCTCGCGTACTTTCCATGCATGTGCCCGGCCTCAAAAATGTGCCTAAATAGCACGATATGCAGCTGGGGCTGGGTGGGCGGCCGCAACCAGTTCGTCTGAACCGGTGCGAACCGGATGAATCCCACCTCTACCTCCACCTCCCGGCTGGCCCGCGGAGAACTACAATGCTGATCTGGCCCTCGAAGAAATCCAGTTTGACACCCCTGCTGTAGAAAGCTCATCTCCTCTTTGGATGAAGCTGGACAATTTGGGCAGCTTAAGGTTGAGAGGGCCTTCAACGGTGCTGAAAACAGTGACTTATGGCCATTTCCCTCCCAGTTACGACCTTTGCAACATCCCCACGATCGTGTCATCAAAACTCAGAGGCTTTGGCAACTGGTTCATACTTATGACCGTGGCTGTGTCCCCATAGTCATTTGAGACCTTCTGACAAACAAAGTCAATGGGGAAAGCCAGAGTCACTTTCGCAGCCTTACGGCTAGCTTAGCGACATCAGCGATTCACTTAACAACGGGGGGGAGGGGGGCAAGCAAGGTTGTAAGATGGGCCGAAAACTCCCTTAACACCAGACATTTGGGGATCAATTGTGGTCGTAAGTCCACAATTGCAGGGTGGATTTGATTTAAATCGAGTTGATTTAAATCACAATTTAAATCATGATTTAAATCACTAGTAAAAAGGCTTGATTTAAATCAACTCGATTTAAATCATAATTCTCTGCTACTCCTTTGACCCACTGTTGACTCACCGATAGTCCCAGTGTTGCAGAATATACAGCCTCCTGCTACATAACTAAGCTCCATTTCATGCTGAATAAACTAAATTATTTCTGTATCTTAAATAGAAAACTATCTTACGATAGATTTTTACCCCAAAAGTTTTTTATTAAAATAAATTCGATAAAAATAAAAAAAAATCCAATTTAAATTTTAAAAAATCTGATTTTTTTTGATTTTTTTAAAAAAAACATTGATTTTTATCCACCCTGGTGAACTGTAGTGGGCAGATTCAGAAGCCAGGATAAACATTGTAGGCCGACTGGACGTGTTTGAGTTGGCAGAGAGGAAAATGATGGTAAGAGGTGCATTTGTGGCGTTTGCTGAGGCATGTGGCTTTCATCAGCTATTAAGAGAAAAAAAATTTGGGAGCAGCAGAAGTAAAAGGAAGACGGTGGCAGACATCTAACGGGACTTTCTGAGAAACCTCCAATAGGTTCTGAAGGAATCAAATGACTGGAATAGAATAGGAATAGGAATAGAATAGGAATAGGAATAGGAATAGGAATGGAAATAGAGTAGGGTAGGGTAGGGTAGAGTAGAGTAGAGTTATAGAGTAGAGTAGAATAATAGAGTAGAGTAGAATAGAATAGAATAGAATACTTAGAGTAGAATGGAATGGGATAGGATAGAATAGGACAGTGGTCCCCAACCTTTTTATCGCCGCGGACCAATCAGCCTTTGATAATTTTACCGTGGCCCGCTGAGCGCGCGCAGGGGTGGGGGCTTTGGGCCACACGTGCGTACCTGCGCGGGGCTCTCTTCCCTGGAGCCTTTGCGCACGGCCCAGGAGCTTTTGCGCACGGCCCAGGAGCCTTTGCGCTGCAGCGTTCATGTCCCCCGGCCGCTGCGCGGCCCGTGCCAGGTACTCCACGGCCCGGCACCGGTCCGCGGACCGGGGGTTGGGGACCACTGGAATAGGATAGAATAGGATAGAATAGAATAGAATAGAATAGAATAGAATAGAATAGAATAGAATAGAATATCAGAATTGGAAAGGACTTTGGAGGTCTTCTAGTCCAATCCCCTGCTTAGGCAGGAAACCGTACACCACTTCAGACAAATGGTTATCCAACATCTTCTTAAAAACTTCCAGTGTTGGAGCATTCACAACTTCTGGAGGCAAGTTGTTCCACTGATTAATTGTTCTAACTGTCAGGAAATTTCTTCTTAGTTCTAGGTTGCTTCTCTCCTTGATTAGTTTCCACCCATTGCTTCTTGTCCTATATGAGGTGCTTTGGAGAACAGCTTGACTCCCTCTTCTTTGTGGCAACCCCTGAGATATTGGAACACTGCTATCATTTCTCCCCTAGTCCTTCTTTTCATTAAACTAGACATACCCAGTTCCAGCATCCGTTCTTCATATGTTTTAGCCTCCAGTCCCCCTAATCATCTTTGTTGCTCTTCTCTGCAGTCTTTCTAGAGTCTCAACGTCTTTTTTACATCGTGGCGGCCAAAACTGGATGCAGTATTCCAAGTGTGGCCTTACCAAGGCATTATATTAACACTTCCAGTGATCTTGATTCTCTCCGTCTGTTTATGCAGCCTAGAACTGTGTTGGCTTTTTTGGCAGCTGCTACACATGGCTGGTTCCTATTTAAATGATTGTCCACCAGGGTGGATTTAATTTAAATCGAGTTGATTTAAATCACGATTTAAATCATGATTTAAATCACTAGTAAAAAGGCTTGATTTAAATCAACTCGATTTAAATCATGATTTAAATCACTAGTAAAAAGGATTGGTTTAAATCAACTCGATTTAAATCATAATTTTTAAAGAGCAACTGTCATCTCTGCTACTCCTGTGACCCACTGTTGACTCACCGATAGTCCCAGGGTTGCAGAATATACAGCCTCATGCTACATAACTAAGCTCCATTTCATGCTGAATAAACTAAATTATTTATGTATCTTAAATAGAAAACTATCTTACGATAGATTTTTACCCCAAAAGTTTTTTATTAAAATAAATTCGATAAAAATAAAAAAAAATCCGATTTAAATTTTAAAAAAAACCTGATTTTTTTGATTTTTTTAAAAAAATCATTGATTTTTATCCCACCCCGTTGCCTACTAAAGACTCCAAGATCCCTCTCACAGTTACTATTATTGAGTGAGGTACCACCTATGCTCCACCTGTGCATTTTGGTTTTTCTTGCGTCAATGTAGAAATGAGATTTAGAGGTAATACTGCTCCCGACTATGGAGGATCCACTTTCTAGCTGTCATTATCTCTACAAAGTGTCAGTCACCGATGGATTTTCTTAATGACCTGATCTTGGAAAATCCCGCTTCAATGTGAAGTTAAAATGAATTTTGGATTTTGCAAAGTTAGCCATGCTGAGCAGGAAGATGGGCTTCTAAATGGCACGGCAAGTTAGCAGCCATCACAGAGATACGATGGTTCATTTGAGAAAAGGGATGGAGAAAGGAACAAGTCAAACCAGTTAGTAAATCGAGAAGGGTGTTTGGGTTAAAATAGTACAGCTGTTGTGTGTGTGGGGAGGGGGCAGAGTTTTGGCACTGTGAATTGGAACATAACTCTGATTGCTCAGTTGGAGCAGAAATCCAATCCGTATCTGGTTTTTTCTGGAAGACTTAAGGTTGACTTTTAGGGTCAGATTTTAATTGAAATGAAGTTCGAGCTAGTGTTTCTGGAAACTTAGCAGGATTACACAGTTATTACATGGTTGTTAAGTGAATCTGACTTTCACTTTGCTTGTCAGAGAGTTGCAAAAGGGGATCACATGCCCTGAGATCCCCGTCACGGTCATAAATGTGAACCAGTTGCCAAGTATCTGAATTATGATCACACAGGGTGGATTTGATTTAAATCGAGTTGATTTAA